AAAATTTTGTGCACATACAAACGTAAAACCAATCAAACTACCAGAAAAGTAATACTATAAAATGGCATTTACCAGAACAACAACAGAATTTCCATCCCTAGAAAAAAATAGACTTTACCAAAGTCATGGACGGAATGGAATTTAATAGACAAAATTGGCTGAAATTTTATGGAATATTCATGAGAAATATCCAAAGCTACGTATCAAAAGAATTACTTACAACCAGATTCTTTACTAGAAGTAAATACTTAGGATATTAAAGAATAGACGATATGGCAACAATAGTAGCTAACCTAACAGCAGACAACCTACATAGAGAACAATTCAACGTTGTATATATGAAACAACTATAGCAAAAATTAGTATTACAAATATTCAATAAAATACATCAAGATGCATACTTTAAAATGGAAGAACACTTTACGTGCATATTCCCAAGCAACCGGTATAATAGACAAAGAACACCACCTGATACGTGTACTGAATCACATATAGGAGGAGGCAATTCAAATTTACTCAAAATAACAAAATACTTTCTAACAACACTCTATGTTAACTACAGAGTATTTAACGCAACCCCTGCAAATGTAATAAAACCAAGACAAGGAAATTTATTAACTGACTGGTCTGCCAACACTGACTCAGGAGCAGCACCATCCAAACAAGTATCTATAATACTATGGATGAATGAAAAATATATTACGCACAAATATCAAGAAACTGCACAAGAAATATTCGCAAAATTCTTATTTGACTTCAAATATATCAATAAAGAAGAATTCTTAAACTTAAAACAAGAATATTACAGACTAAGAAAAGAAGCAAATGATGAAACAACATGAATACAAGGCAGAGCATTCCAAACTTACAAAAGACTACTAAGCGAAAGACACCCTGCAGAAGATTACAGAGCTGCAATACAATTATTAGGAAGACCAACATCTTATGAAGACTTCTTTAACAAATTAGAACAAGTATATGATTCTTACAAAGAAGGACAAGTAGGACAAGCATTCAAAAAACAATTTGGAAACAAGAAAAAAGAAAACTTTTCAAATGAAAAAGGATACAAATACAACAAATACAAACCAAAAAAAGAAATAAATTTCTCAGCAAAACAAGAATATTATGTAGTTAAGAAAAATGATCTCAAATGTTACAAATGTAGAAAAACAGAACACTTTATGAAAGAATGCAAAAACAAGATTGCTAATCACCCCTTTGCTAAAAAATTTGACAAATGAAACCCTGGAAGAAATAATAATTATAAAGGAAAAGGAAAACAAAACTACAAAGGAAACTATAAAGAACGAAACTATAACCCTAATTATAAAGGAAAATCCTACAACAATAAATGAGAATTTAACAAGAAAGACCAAGAAAAATTCCTACAAAATAGAACTGAATCTAAAAAATAGATTAAAGACTCTACAAAATCCAAATACTACGAGAAACCAATGACTAACAATTATCAAAAATGGTTAGAAAAAACAACAGAACAACTACCACAATTTTGAAAGAACTTTACAATATTCAAACCACAGTTCAATACAAGTACATACAAACCAATTTTCAACAAATTTAACAAAGACAAAAAATTTACACCCTACACTACTAATCGATATAACAAATTCAAAGAAGAATGAAAAAAGAAATTTGAAAATATGCAATGCGAAAAATGTAAAAGCATATATCATACAACTAAAAATTGCCCAATAAAACCAATAGACCTAAATCACTCTGAAAAAGCAAAATACCAAGAATACCAAGAATACAAACATTTCCAAAAAGAAATGAACTCTTTAGAAACAGCAACCAAAAAATTAAAAATTAATGATCACTCTGATCAGGAAAAATCTTATTTCTAAATAGGAGCCTGCGAATTACTCAGAGCCAACTCTTTAATAATACTTTAGGCTGTAACTCAGAGTATAACAATTATAATACTAATTATAATGATAACTTATATATAACCAATTCATGTAATACCAAAGAAATATTTAGTCAAGAATTTATTAATAAACCTATTGATAAAGGATCTATAAAACAAGTAAATAATTACTCTGCCACAAATAAACTAATTTGAACAAAGGAAAGTAAACTAACACCACTAAAAGATAAAGGACCAAAAGCACTATACTTTTATGCACAAGTAAACGGAATACCATTTGAAATGAAACTAGATGAAGGATCAACAAATACAACAATGGGAATAAAACACTTCGACAAATTGAAAAAATATACCAACATAGTATATAAAAGTAAACTTGCAACAGCAAACACAGTAGGATCACAAGTTAAACTATTAGAAAAGCAATCGTGAACATCAAAATAAATAATCACTTATTTAAAAATATAAAAATAGATATCCTTAGTAGAGATTTTGAATATATAATACTCTCAAATAAATTACAAAAACAACTTGGAATATTAAAAGATAACAAAACGGACCAAA